CAGTCATTCATCATTAATGAACATTAGCTGTAGCTTTTTTGTAGGTGCTTTTTACCAAGTTGAAGTAGTTACCCTCTGATCTCTAATTTCCTGAATTTTATCATTTCTTTATCATAAACACTGAATTTTATCAAGTGCTTCATCTCTGATACAATCATGTGATTTATTTTTATTCAGTCTAATACAGTAGTTGATTCTAAAATATTAAACCAGATTTGTATCTCTGGAATAACCTTCATTTGGTCTTTTAAAAATATTGCTAAATTCTACTTGCTAATATTTTGCTAAAGATTTTCACACCTATATTCATAAGGATATTGGCCTATAGTTTTTCTCTGTTGTACTGTCTCTGGTTTGGGTAACAGGATAATTCTAGCTTCATAAAATATTCTCTTCTTTTCTATTTTCTGGAAGAGACTGTATAGAATTAGTGTTAATTCTTCTTTAAATATTTGGTAGAATTCTCCAGTAATTGTTCCGCCCCCAGACACTCTGATGTTATTAGCATGTAGCATAACCTAGGCATTGGGACTTTAAAAATCTCCCCAGGTGATTATATTGTACAGTGTGGGAACCACTACCTTATTGTATAGAGTGAATATGGCTAAGCCTCTTATTATTTCATCTGTGCTTGTCTCCCTTGAGAGCCTACAATTCTAAGGCAGGATCGGTCAACGTTTTTCTTTCTTTTTTTTTTTTTTTTTTTTTTTTTTGAGCATTGTTTGATTGGTCAACTGAATGAATATTAAGCCCTTAGTGCTTTTCTTATGATTAACCAGGGTTAACAGAGAATTACTGGGTTGGATTGGAATTTCTTTTTAGGGGCATATTTAAAATTATAAACCCATCTTCCTTAATGGTTATAAGATACAGCCTTCACACTTTTAAAAACCAAAGGTGGGATGAGAGTCTGATAAAGGGTATATTGGAGACAGAGTCCAACACACTAAAGTTTGGGGATACAAATGTGGCAAAGAACATTGATTTTCAATATTTTAAAAACTATAAATCCCTTCAATCAAATAAAACCTGACATAGAATCCCAATACAAGATCAGATGCTCTAGTAAAATCTTGGGCAGGAACCTTTTCCTCCCTCCTCCAACTCTTCTTAAGGTCATAAAATCTGGAGGCATTCTGTGGTCAACCATAGTTAGATTTGCACACAGGAAGGCCCTATGTGCACACACTGGGAAAACTGCCAGGTATGATTGGGCAAGAGTGGTCACAGGCAAGTTATGTAAATATGGCATAGCAAAAATCTTGGCATGTTGAACCTTGACATTAGGTCAAAGGGTATGGTTATACCCATATGTAATAATATAAACTGTGCTGCTTTTGTGGCAGGAAAGAAAAAAGGGGACCTTCATACCCACTCAGTGGCTGATCATTACCTCTATTTTGGAGGCTTCCCCACAAGGAACACGAGAGACCTTAAACGGATGTCCTCTTGAATGCACACATTTCTATGAAGTTTTAATGTCACTTGATGATCAACAAAGCTTATCAGTTGGAGAAAAAGGCAAACTGGACTACTTGCTTCCAGATAGCTTCTAACCTAAAACAGAACATTCACAAACGCAGGATTAAATCTGTCACCCACTCTCCTCTTCCCATCTTTAACATCTTAGATGGTTCTCTTCTTTTATAAGCATCCCAAATCAAGGATTTTCTCTGCTTCAAAGGGGATCTTGACAAAAAAGCCCTTTATTCTTTCCATTAACCAAAAAATGGTTAAGATTCTATGTAATTTTTAATATGTAGTATTCATTTCTTTTAGAATGACAAATGACAGATGAGGGCTCATAATTAATAATCAGAACAGTACTCAAAGGCTATTTTTTGCCAAGAGTTGCCTTTTTGAAATTTTTTAAAATGATCTCAGACATAACCACTGTTAAGTGTCAGAGTCTCCTATCATTCCTTAATTTCTGCTTTTAGGTTGATAAAAAATGTAAAATTGGAACATTACACATTCAACTACTTTGAAGATTTCTAACTCCAAAATTATAAACATCTATAATTTTTAAGTATTTCTTAACATTTCCAATTTAAAAATACAAGAAATACATCAAGTCTGAAGTCATAGACAACAAGCTTTAAAAATTGGGCTGTAATCCCAGCACTTTGGGAGGCTGAGGTGGGTGGATCACAAGGTTAGGAGTTCGAGGCCAGCCTGGCCAACATGGTAAAACCGTCTCTACTAAAAATACAAAAAATTAGCTGGGTGTAGTGGCAGATGCCTGTAACCCCAGCTACTCAAGAGGCTGAGGCAGTTGAATTGCTTAAACCCGGGGGTTGGAGGTTGCAGTGAGCTGAGATCTCGCCACTCTACTCCAGCCTGGATAAGAGTGAGATTCTGTCTCAAAAAACAAACAAATCAACAAAAACCTGGTTTGGAAATGTTCTTGATATTACGATTATTCACCTGTATTTCCAGAAAAATTTGATTTATATCTTTGGGATGAATAAAAAGCATTTTAACATTGAAAGTTCAAACACTTTCAAATACTTTAAAGGCTTTTTATGACTTGTACTTTTTCTTCTCAAAAACCAGAAGTATGAAATGGTCTTTTATTTACCTATGTCCTAAATTTAAAATCCCCCCAATTCACTGCATACTATTTTAGATAATCAGTGTCATGATTCAGAGCACTGAATACAAAACGTACTACTGCTTCAATAATACACATCTTAGATTTGTAAAGTGAAACAAAGACTGAGAACTTAAGAAAACGGTCATAGTACTGCAAACCCTCGAATATTGAAAGTAATGTCATACATGTACAAAATATTCCCATTTCCATTTGAATAAAAACACCACTAAATTAGCTAATGAAAATATTCATGGTTTGCAGGACATTTTCTTTCCAATGAAGTGAATTATGCTCTCTAAAACGGACCGGCTACTGCTGCTTATACCTGTAATACCAGCACTTTGGGAAGCTGAGGCAGGCAGAATGCTTGAGCCAGTTTGAGACCAGCCTGGGCAATATGCGAAACCATCTCTACAAGAAAGACAAAAATGAGACGGGCGTGCTGGTGCGTGCCTATAGTCCCAGCTACTTGGGAAGTCGGGGCAGGAGGATCACCTGAGCCCTGGGAGGTCAAGGTTGCAGTAAGCCAAGCCAAGATCGTGCCATTGCACTCCAACCTGGGCTACAGAATGACACCGTCTCAAAAAAAAAAAAAAAAAAAATGGAACCACTATTTTCCCCATTATCTAGTTTTCTTCTTTTCATAGTCCAATGATGCTTTGTGTATATTAGTATAAACTTCATGGGGAAAACACAAATTGCTTTTCTGGAGAAAAGGTGTTGGGAGTGTTGATTAAAAATAGGGAATTTTTTTGCCAGGAGTTTTTATTTGGCGGCTCTGTGAATTCTCATAGTAAATACAGTACAAGAAATGAAAAATGTAGTACAGATTCTGCCACTTATTTTACCTTACTTAATAAAAATAAGGATTATCTTCCATACTTTTCAAACACTAATTATGAGACTACAAAAGTTACTTGAAAACTTATAAAACATCTATAGTATCAAGAAAACAAAATCTGCTATGGTATACAAAATCCTGATAATTTTGTGGAAAGTACCAGTAACAATGTCCCTACTGCAGCAGAGCTTAAATACTATATTAGGCATAATTTGGTTTCTGTTATGAATATGGAATAAATTCAGTAAGTTCTACATTTCATAGAAAATAGCTTATGCTGTTCACAAAGCTAAATTATTGTATTTTTGTATTTGTACATATTATTGGCTTTGTAAAAGATAAAATTCGAAATGTATCACAAGTTTTAAAAACTCTACATATAGACCATGAAGTTCTGAGAATATGTCATGAATAATCAAAGGTATGATATTCACAGCATTGTTTACACTAAAAAGTAGAAAGGCCTTAAGTTCCCAAAATGAGAATTGATTCATTATATTGATTCATTTTCAAATAATGGAGGGGCTGTTAAAATAGTATCAATATCATAAAGGGAAAAAAAGGCTACCAAGCAGTAAAAATTATATAATTCCATTTTTTAAATATCTGGAGATCATTTATAAATGACAGGCTATCACAATACTGTGCTTTAAAAAAATTTTAGCTTCTCCACAATATTACGTGATTGAAAAAAATAATAAAGGACAAATTCATTCTTTGTGCAGAAATACTTTTCAGATTAAGACTGACATGCTTTATCTGCAAATAACCCACACGGGATAGCCATACATGTCGGAGTTTATGTACACACCACATACAACTTTTTAAAATAACTGTACCATTATTAGCCGAAGTCCTCTACTTCACTAGATCTTTTAACTAAATTTTTATCAAAATTTGCGCATCTGTTGATGAGAATGTATTTTCTTGCAGAAGCAGTGTCACAAGTTACCGCCTGTTACAGACGACTGAAGATACATGTGCAATCAAAACTGAAATAATGCAAATTCATCATTCAATAAAATTATTAAATATAAAATGAACATGCTGAACGCTGGAAAAGAAGGCCAAATCAGATCGGGGGGAAAAATTGTTCAAATGAAAACCGTGGAAATTACAGAGGTTCTGAAAACTTTCAATGGCTTTGGGAATTGATATTGTAAGCACTTTATATGTAATTTCATTTCAGAAACTATGGCATTCCTTCTTTTACATCAGAATAATACTTTTATACTTATCCCTTATGATCAAGAGAACTTTCTGGTTGCCAAGTGGCATAAAGAGAAAATTTCAAGCAGTAAAGGAGTCAGGAATTAGGGGGAAGAGTCATGAGGATTTGTGTATGTGTGAAAGGAAGAGTCATTAAGCCAGTGACATACTGGTGCCAAAACTGAATTCATACAACTGAAAATGGAGAGTAAAGAAGGGAAGATGAAATGTGAGTCATTTCTTCATATAAACATTTTCAGAACTCTCAACTATGTAATGCCTAATGAATGCAACTTTTTTCTAAATTAATATAACTTATGCAAGATGTAGGACAATTTTAAAACGTTAACAATAGTTTTTAGTAAGACTATTTTATTTTAAAATTTTTCAAAATATAAAAATAAACAATATGGATAACAAACAAAATTCAACTATAAATAATAAAAATGTTGACAACCCCACATAAACATTTATTACTATAAACATCCTAAGCGTACGAGTAGTTTTCTAGTTCAAGTTTTATCTTTTTTCAGTTCAAGTTTTATGGTCACTTAAAAAAAATAAACAAAAAAGCTGCTACAGCTTAACCAACTGCTTTCGCTCCACTCAAAGAGCCGGAAATTTGTTTTCCCTATGCCAACCAACACACATTCATGAAATGGGATACTTATGGGCACAGGTATTTAGACCTGGAACAATCCAGTCTCCAGACAAGACAAGACTCCTTTGGTGTTTTTCAATTCAACAGTCCACTAAAATTGAGTTAAAATAAACCACTTATTAGAAGAATTCTTGTGCCAGACAAAATGTTCTGAAGTAACATCACACCCAAAACAGGTTTAGGCTTCTGAGAATCAAAAGCAGGCATCCATGAATGCTTTGCTGATACTTAAAACATTTTATCATATGAACATTCACTAAGGTGCTGAAAGGAAATCTTGGGGACAAAACAAAAAAATCGACACATCAATGCAAAAACCTACAATGTAGTAATACAACTCTTTATAATTCAAAAAATGCTCCGTAAATATTTAAGAATTACGATGACTCCTTGTTGAGTGAAGGATAGATGAGAATTTAAAGCAAAGCAGGATTATGTATTTTAGTACTAGAAAGTTTTCATTTGAAATAAGGGAAAACAGCCTTGCTGAATGAATTTTTGGATTCTAGCCAAATTAACTGCCTTCCTCAACAATTTTCTTTTTGGGAAGCTGGGCACAAGTAAGTGTGTGGTCATTCTGCATCATGTTCTTAAATTATGATTGTTTCTAATGGGCTGGGCTCTTTATCTGACTCAGCACAGACTACTTTTTATAATTATGCTGCTAGATTATAATAAATCACAAGCAATCAGATTAAAACCTAGCAAAGTCTGGACAATGGGTTCAAAAATGATACTGAAAGGTTTTATAGCACCAATAACTTTTTCCTAAGACACTTGAGGGGCCTCTATCATTTTAAAGTATGATTTATCTTGTAAACAAGACCAAAAATATTGAGTTGATCTGTAGTTTGAGCATAAATATTTATAAACTCTATTAAAAAAATATAGCATGACTAGAGCAGCTTAACAGTGTAAAATCTAAGTATACTGAAAAATATAAAGATGTATAAAAGGCTTTCATTATGCAATCATGCAGAGGTAAATAGCTTCAATCAATTACACAAAAGTGATTCTGTACAGTTATCTACAATAGCTCCATGAGAAGCCTAGTCAGGAAAATAATGAAAATCTTTAATCAACACATGAGAATTTTAAATGTGTAACTGACTAGATCTCACAGCAATTTTCAAAAAGCACAGTTATCTTGGTGAGAATCAAATCATCTTGACTTCTGATTCTCAATGGCATCTTCAATTTTGTTTTGCTTTGTTTTTAATTTTAAAAGCAAAAAAATGAAAAACGAGAACACCAGGATGACAAAGTTGCAGGTAGTGGCATGTGGTCCATATATCCATTAACCAATCAATATTGTTAACACTAAGTATAGTGTCGTCAGACAAACGTCTTTACCCTAGCAGCAAACCACTGTTGTAGGGACAAAAAAATTCCCTGTTCACAATTTAAAATACTCAACTTATTTGGGAAAGTATTTATGAACACCCTGTGGCTAGTTTGTAAATGTTAACCAAAAGTCTAACAATTTAAAAAAGAAAAAGCCTAGTAAGCTACTGGGTCCTAAGTACATATGAAGACTTTTCAAAATATGTACTTTTTCTTTAACCAAGCCTAGAATTAACCATGCTCTGTCCAACCAATGTGGATCAAAACAGATAATTTACATTATGACTGATGGGTTAATTACCTTCTTTTTATTTTTCATGATGACAAATGCAATGCATACTCAAGTGGAAAAATAAAAGTTTGCAGAATATTCAGCTTCACACAAAAGAAAGTGACTAAGTATGTCAGTGTAAACTGGACTTTTCTAATATAGTTACTACCAAGCATAGCTTCCAACTTCTTAAATGCCTCCTGAGATCTATGAAGGAATACTCAGAAACTAAGTTAAAACATTTCTTATGATGCCTATTATAAAAGGGATATTGTGGGTACATATTTAGGATGAGATTTAATCATATTCTTTATAAGTAATTCTAAGCCATACTGTTTATAAACGATCTGGACATACACTTCTTAAAATGGTTAAAAACCAGTCTTTACCAATGTTAGGCACACAACACTATTTCCTCTTGCTTTAAAAATTGTCTTTGATGTCTTGATTGAGAGTCAAAAAAATGTGAAAAAATTACGTTAAGACATTTAATAGATTTTTAAAATATTTATAACCCACAAGATCATCATTTGTCACTTGGAAGAAAATTATTTTCATTGTTGGCTTTGAAGAGCTAAGAATTTTTTTAAAAAATATTTGGGTAAATGGCCTTAGCAACAATATCAGAAAGTATATTTAGAAGAAATGCACAAGCTATTACAGTACATAAAAAAGTACTTTATCATCAATACAAAATTATTTCAAGTGGCTATCCTACTCGCAGAAATATATCTTAAGACCCCCCAAAATTAAAACCAAAGTCATGTTTAACTTTTTAATTCATTTTCATTTTAAATTGTTCATGCTAAAGAACACAGTAGCATGGCTTTACAGATTTCCTAGACACAATCCTCAATTTGGCTCAGACTGAAATATATGTCATCCAAGAGAAATTTTTCGTTCTTTCTTAAGGTGTTTAAAAAATAAATGGCTATAAAGTACGGGGAGAAAACATTTAAGAATAAGGTCAGAGCACACATTCAGATACACTTTGGACTCAGATGTACTCTTAGAGAACTGTAGAGATAAAATGCTAATTATAGTACATGTAAACATCTGTTCAAATTGATAAAGAGTGAACATAAAATAATAGGATGGTATTATTATAACAGTCGTCTCCAGACAGGAACTGGTCTTGTTCTCGCAGTCACAAAGCTAAATTCAGGCAATGATGATCTCTCTCTGCTGGAAAAAGAGAAGACTATTAAAAAAAAAAAATTGAAAATAGCAAATAAATCTAAAACTTGAATCACATCATAAATTGACCTCCAACTTTTCTAAACATTAAAAATAAAAAACTATTTGAGAAAGGAATCAAAATCAAAATTGCAGGCAAATTACACAAAGCTTTGGACTAAGATGATTTTAACAAAACTTCTCTGCATCATGCTTCCTTCAAACATTAAGCTATGAAAGATCACAGCATGCAACATATCTTACGGTCTAAAGTTTTCATTACGAAAACTAGTAACTGATCATAGGGATAACTTTTATAGAGATGTGGGTAGGCAGAGAAATTTTAAGAAATAATCAACAAATTACAAGACGTTGTAAATAAAAAGGCAGAAACAATTTTCTTAAGCTTTCCCAAAGATTTCAAAGTAATTGCAAGACACATCTAATTTTCTTAAACTCCATATGATAATCACTTTGTTAATCACACTATATGAAGTAAAATGCTATACTAAGCACAAAGGTCCACAGCAAAAATAAAAGGTACACATTGAAATCAGACAGTGCCTGGTATACAAGGAAAGGCTAATTGTGGATGATGGGAAAATGAGTAGAAAGATGAAATAAACAGTGAGGGAAGAATTTAGGAAGTACCAAGTATAAAAAGTGGATACAAAATGTAGAATTTTAAAAACCTTTTAATTACATTAACAAGCACATGATATGGATAAACTTCAAGAAACTTATTACCAAATTAGGTGTTTTTCTACTAAGCGCAATGTTTTTCATTAGCAGTTACTGGCAATGGCAGTCATGTCACCAAAGTTTCTTTCCTAGGATTTTTAGGTAGCAACTTTGGAAAATTATCTCTTGTCATCTCATAGGTATATAATGATCAGAAAGGAAAAATTTAAGACTGCTCTTCTCCAAAGGCCTGTATACATACCTTAGAGCAATTAGCCAGCTCAAGAAGTTAACAGGAACAAGGTAGTTCCTGAGATCTGGGAAAAGGAAATTTTCTTCTTGTCGTACAAATATCGTAAACTAGTAATTTAATTTTCCATTAAATTTCCATTTTTAATTTATACTATTTTATAAGAACAGGAAAAGCTCCAAGAGAAAGACCAAAAAATTAACTAAGCCAAAATTTCATGCAGGAAATTTTTCTTTTAAAAGGCTAACAGACTTGTGTGTGTTTGTGTGTGTGTGTGTGTGTGTGTGTGTGTGTGTGTCTGTTTTGGGTGGAGCTTACAACATTTATCTAAATTCTAGAAGAACTAAAACTCATTTTCTATCAGTCTACATTGTGGTTAAGGGGGGAGAAGAAAGAAAACATATTGATAGAGTTTACTCTTTACTCTAAAATAGCCAGTGATATATTTCAACATACCAAACAAGCAACTGTTGCTTCCTTTTTGAACCCTTGTAGGCAATGGTTAGTATTCCAAGTAAGAGTGGTTGAAACTCTTTATATAGAGCCCCACAAAATCAGTTCTAGTAAGAAGACATTTCTTTCAAATAAACGTAGTCACATTTTCTACAGGAAATCAGCTAAAACACTGAAGTCCTATCTTTATAGTAAACTATTAGTTGTCACATTCAATCGTATCATCATAAAACAAATGCTATGGAATACTTTCCCATTCTTGCAACATGTTTTCATCAAATGCTTGGGTATCAGTTAAATATAAAATTTAATTTGATATGTTACAATTATCCAATAACATTTAAAACAACACTGCTTAAGTAGCAATACAAAATATTGGCTGAAATATGTAAAACGACAACTTAACCATCCCTTGAGATAATCCTAATCAATCTTTCAACCAGTAATATACAATGTTCCTCAATTTTTTCCTGTATGAAAAGGCTACCTATATTGCTGTCCTCAATCCTTTTCCAATTCCCAACTCAGCCTACAGCCCAGGTCTGTACTAAAGCAAAACAATGTTAGGAGAGCTGCAGAATTAAAAACGTTTGTTTAGTTTTAGGTAGCATATTGTTTTTGTATTTTAAGAGTAAACTGAGATGGAAAGGAGAATTTAAATCCATATTGTTGAGAGAACGAACTGTATCTGCATTACTAGCAAGTATTTCTATGTTCAAACTCTGAATTTAGAAGAAAAATAAAAAGTTACAACTGGGAAAAGGAAATGCTAGTGAATACAGAAGTTCATCTCTATTTTATAGGCTGAAATGTAATTTGTGCTGGCAAATGTAAGCATGTAGGAATATTAAATACAAAACTATACCAAGAGGCATCATATAAATTACCATAACCAAATCCAAGTTGTTTCCATTGATAGAATGATAGAAAACAATGATAATAGATAAGAACTGTCTTAGATATATTGTTTTGTATCAAACACTAATATAGCACCAGGGTTACTATAGATGTAAAACGGACCTCAGAGATCATCTAGTCCAACTCTATTTTACAGACAAGTAAACAACCCTGGATAAGGCAACAGACTTGTCTAAAGCCACAGAGTTAGTTGCAGAATTGGGACCAAAAGCTAAATCTCTTATAAACTTTGTCTAGTATTCTGTAACTAGGTCACCTTTGGATATAAAAATTAGTGGGATGGACTAGATTGGTGGCTCTTAGCATTTCTAATCATACACACTGTCAGAAACCAAAAGTGTATTTTACCTCTGAAACAGACTACAACATTTATTACCACAAAATATTAATGCCTTACTAAATGTGAAAATTCCACTAAGACTACATGTGTTTACCTCCACAGTACTTGTAACCCCACTGGTGACAAACTTGAACTGTATCAATTGCTTAGCAAAATGCTCCCAGTAACTGAGGAGATCTTCAAGAGATTTTTGGAAAATTGATAAGAATTAACAAGGGAGGTAATTGTCACTCTATGATCGGAGAGTTAAATATGCATTCATTCATTAATTCATCCAACAAACATCTGGGTGCCCAATATAAGCCTAGCTTTGTGATAAGCACTAGAAATAAAACGATGAATAAGACATGGTCCCCCTTCCTAGAGGAGCTTGTAATCTAGTGGGGAAGACAGACATAAACCAGATAAATTATATTACAATGTAAGTACTGTAACAGAGATATGAACAAAGTGCTGTATTAAAAGGGAGGGTATAAGTATGAACTGGCGAATGACCAAGAAGTCTAATAATTTTGTGTAGTACCTTTGAGGCAAGAACTACCATATTTGGTATAAACACAATCTGATATTCCACTCCATCAATAATTAGGAAAGCAGCAACAACACAGAGTTAAAAAAAAAAGAAAAGTTGACACTGAAATCAGAATGCCTACATTCAAATGTACTATTTTCACCCACTAGCTACGACTGGGTAAATCATTCTATCTCTATTAATCTAAGTTTCCTTATCTGTAAAATGAGAATTAACAACTCCTTCCTAAAATGAAAGTACACACAGAATGCTAGTATTTATAAAGAAGTAAAAAATTCAGTAGCAACTTAATACTAAGTAATATTTATAATTAGAATCATATTAATATTACAAATAATATACCTGTAAACCTAATTAATCTTGGTAAGATTTAATCCCCATTCTTTGGGACCAAACTGAAACATATTTGTCTTCTGATTCATTCAAAGCAACATGGCTTAAAACATTTTAGGTTCTAAGTTACTTGGAAATTTTAGGCTAGAAAAGCTGATTAGCTATTCATGGACTGAAATAGAATATGTGTTTTCAGTTACATTATAAGGGAATTTTTATAATTTTTGAAGTATCAGGCTGAAACGTACTAATCAAATTATAAAGCCAAATATCAGCATGAAGATTTAACTGGCCTTTGAAAGATTTACTTTCTTTATAATACCTGTTTGGTGTAAAGAGAAGAAACGTGAGCCTCTGCCAATTTGGCACCTTTCACGACTACTAAAAAGAAAAGAAAACAAACTTACCTAATGAATCAGAATAGCACATAGTCAACATACAAGAGACTACATAAAAATAGATCTTTAACTACAGAAGTAAAAATAATGACTTTTTGAGCAAAGTCACTATTTTGACAACTGAAATCTGATTTTGAAATTTTAAACATAAACGTATACACAAATTGCAAGCCAAAGAGTTCCTATGAAATACTGTTACCATCAAGAAAATATACATAACTTCAACCCCAAGTAGGGGTGTATGGGCAAGAAGAAAAATGAAGCATCCTTAAGTTACTCCAATGGCAGAAGACTATGGTGGTGGTGGAACAATAGCTTTTGATTGTGAAGACCCCAATATGGAAGAAAGTAATTTTTTAAATGTGATTTTTTTAATATTATCACTATAATCTCAAGAGAGGCAGAAACACTTGCAATCGAAATGATAAATTTTAAAATATAAATATGTAATCCCCCACCCCAATTCTACAAAGATGAGTTTATTTCCTGGAAACTGCTACATCAACTTTCAATGATCATGTTCACTTGCAAAAGAAATCCACTTAAAAGAATCACAGTATTGTTGCAAACATCAAAGATTTTTATACAAGTATAGGAAATACACACTTAAAATATCAGACTGGAACACTTACCAAACAGTGTTTTCCTAAAGTAGTATCTATAGTACATTTCTTTATTCATATATCTTCAAATGGTCAAGTTTTCTTTCATACATCCAAAATGTAATGTGATGTTTTCTTATTCACCAAATGTTAGCTCTACTTGTAGTCTGGTTCCAAACTAATCAGCCTGCTTTTAAATTTTAAGACATTTGTTGAAAATTTATAGGATCAAACCAAACTTAAGTGGTATAATTTTTAAACATTGGGTTGTACATTATTGTAAGGGTACCAGTAACCATTACTATTAAGATTAAGTTAGTGATTATAGCTCTTTTTGTGATAATTGGGGGGGAGGGTAGATCACCATCTGGAATGGTCTATTTTAATTTTTTTCTTATCTTTTTTCTTTTTTTTTTTTAATCAAGAAACATTGTCTTGGCTTTTTCTTTTTTGTCATTGCTTTTTTTTCTTTTCTTTTTTTTTTTTTTTTAAGAGACCATTCCACTTTATTATAACATCCAGATGCATAAGGACTCATGTAAAGCAGTCATACACCATTATCTTTAAAACCCATATGGTAAAATACATACACAGTCCAACAAAAGGCTAATACATAGTAAAGCCTAAGCATACTACTATGTAATATTATAATACATAACTTGGAGACTTCAGTTAGAGTACTATGTTATCTATTCATTTTTGAAAACATTCATTAAGATTTTAAATGCAAATTCATTCCTTATTTGGAATAAAACAAAATCCTCTAAGTTATAACAAGTATTGGTCATAAGTTTTCAGACCTATTCATTAAATTACAAAGAACCCAAAGAATTCTGTAATGTCCAGTATAAGTATGTAATAAAAACATTGCATATATTTCTAGTGTGATGTCTTCATCAACTGTTTACTGAAATAAAATGCAAACATCAATCTTTCAAAATACAAGATCAGAAGGTAGTTTTCTTCTTTTTTGTCTAATTGTGAAATCCATCTTCATCACATTTTACCAAAAATTGTTTTTACAAATATGTAAAAGTACATTAGATAATACTAATGAAACACAGGTAGAGTTCTAGCATATGTAGATCAATGATCAGTCAAATCATCTTCTCCAAGAACGAGATTCATTGTCCTCTTCTTCTTCATCATCATCTTGAAGTAATGAGTCATCCACCAAAGACTCTTCCTGAAACTTTAGGTTAAAATGTATTTAGGAATTTACCCAAAAAAAAAAAAAAAAGAAAGAAAAAAAAGAAAAGAAAAAAAGTGACATTTTTAAATACTGATCTCTCTCAACAGAGTTGAATACAAAAGGTATTTTTATAGCTAGAACATTCACAAAACAAAGAAAAGCAACATTTAACCACTCAATGGTTTCTCTGTACTACCTATTCTATTTGCTTGCATGAAACAGGCACTGAACAAATATCAAATTAAGCCTTTGAACATGCTAATTTTTCCTGCCTCTCTTTAGCAAATTACACCATCTTCTGTACCTTTAAAATACTGGTCAAACTGTTAAAAAAAGAAAACAGTAAGTTTTCTCTAATTTATGCTCCTAACCTTGAATACGGAAATCAACCAATAACTTACATAAAATTCTACCAAGATTTATATTTATATTTATTTTCCATGTATGCAACAAACATTTACTATTATTGCATTCCTTTCTTTTCCCCATTCCCTTCATAAACACTTCTCAGACTGCTATTTCAAACTTTTCAAAATACCTAATACCAGGAGCTCTCCTGCTTTTCTCCCCATTCAATTCAAACTCATGGAAGGACAAAGGTATAATCTAAAATATAAAATGACAAATCATGTATATGAGTTTCAAAATATACATTTTTATTCTTGCATTTGACTATGGATATGTATAACAGCCTTGAAATGCTCTTCAAACAAAAAGAAGTGTGCCATTATGAAGGTAAAACATGGAATCATTTAGTTTTCCCACCTTACCTTTATTTCTTAACTTAAAATTCCTCCTAAAGCTTATTTTGTAATTAAATAAGAGTTGCTTACTTTTAAGTTTTTGGTTTCGAAGGGCTCTCTACCACTTCACTGGTTCACACCTCTTAGCCATCAGACTAACTGGTGTTACTCAAAGAAAAATGCACTTCCACTCTTCCTGACGCTTATCCCTCTAAAATACCTCTCAACTATAATCCTAGCTCCAGTTCTAAGTTATGAAAGCTATTTTATCACTTAGGGCCCAGTTCCACTGTCAATACCTCCTTTAAAATTTTCTGGGATGGAAACAATCACTCCTTCCACTGAGTTTCCAGAGCATGTTGTTCAAATCTTTATTCAGTATTATCAGTCTGCCTTTTATTGTAACTAGTTTCTTATGTGTCTGTCACAACCCCCCTTTTCAGATTATAAGCTCCTTGATGATAGGGACCGTGTCTTATTCATTTTTGTGCCTAAGACATTATCTACCATATAACAGGCATTCATTCTAATGACTAAAACAATATATGAATTAAAATGAAGGAAAGCTGAAATGTTAATAAAGCAACTGAGAATAGATTACCCTAAAACTTAAAATATTACAAGATGTCCTGTGGATAAAAATCTAATGAATAATTATCATTTCTAAGGGTAAATAGAGTATATACATAATTTTCATATATTCTTTTTGAATTAGCAATCCACAGTTTTGCCTCATTATCCAGTTAAAATTTAAAATTGTTTGCATTTATCTGATATCCCTTGCCTGGACTATGGGTCAGGAATAAAAGTTTTATGTTAAAATCACAGCCATAAAAAAAAAAATCACATTTCATATAAAAGCTATGAATGATTAAGGGTAAAAATAAGTGGAAAAAAATATAACATACTTCTTCTTCATCAGGCTCAACTTCTTCTGTTTCAACAGCTGAAATATTAGTTACTGGTTTATTCCATGCCAGTTTTAGATCTTGTCCTTTGAAACGAGCTCCATGAACTGCAGCCTAAAATGATTAAAAATATTGGAATATAAGACATTAAACATTTCTGAAGAAAAAATTAAATTTCATAGTGCCTAACATTAAAGTTAAAATAGCTAAACACAACTGAAGACTGCTATCCATTTGGTTTTTGGTTAATTCTCAATTTACTATTTGTTATTATAATTTATAATTTACTTTTGATGGTTTTTTACTTCTACAATCAGACTAGTAATTGGAAAATTCCTTTAGAAAGAAAGTAAGAATAATTTCTCATAACAAAATAGAGCTACTTCACTAATGGCCAATATTTGATTAAAAGAAATATGTTTACATGTTTACAATACAATGACAATTGCTGTTTAAGATGACAATCCCAAGATATTTCAAGATCCTGGTTTTAGCTTCTGAATCAATGTCTAAATTAGAATGAATATGCTAAATATATTTTATTTCATTTTAATTACTGTTCATTTACAAATGGTATATATGGTAACTATTAATCTTTAATAATTTTGCATGTGTAAAGTATGATGTTATTTTCAAATTACATCAAATAATCAACTACCATAAAATGTTTAATGTAAACTAATAAAAAATATAAGTACGTCAACGAAAGGAAAAAAAACCCACTGAAATTTTCTCTTGAAAAACAGTTTTTCCTCCAAAGCTTTTACAACTGAATATAAAACGTGCACTTACAAAACAGTCATGTCTAAGCACTTGCTACACTAGGTGGCTGGTTTGGAAACACTGCATTCTTATCAGAGTAACATGAACTAAGGTAAATCAATGTTAGCAACATACTGCAATAACTTATACTCACACAAGATTTGTAATACAATCTCAAAGTACACCATAATGTGAAATGTAGAAACAATTATATATTCAATGATATCTGACATAAGTTGTGTGGTATTAAAATCCCCAGGTATAAATTTTAAATCTGCACATACAAATTTATGATAAATTTAAAAGATTTCATGCCTATTAAAATGCTGCTCAGGAGTCACAATGTCATACAACTAGATTTTTTTTAAAAAAGTACTTATATATATTTTAGTTCCCGAACAACCTGCAATTTTTTGAAGCTATCATTATTACATAAAAATGTATCATAGTACTGTAAGAAATTCCACCTGTTTAATGCAAAATGCCTACTCATAAAACTCTTCCTTGCATTCAGCTAATTCATCTAAGAAGCAAAAAATAATACTGACATTTTCACAAATAAGTTACTAACACAAATTTCTGATGACCTAAATTTAAACAGCTCTATATTCAGCACATACTTCCTCAAATTTATAAGATGAGCCTACAACCTGCTAGAGTTTCAACTTTAAGATTATTTACAAGATGATTTTCAAACCGTTTATTAATATTGCTCCATTACAAACTTGAGAATTAGGCCCTGTAAATTTTTGAACTACCTGGGTTTTTGCTTTTTGAAGATGTAAATTTATTCAGGAAAACTAAGAACTTAGATGTTATAAGAAACATATTCCATAATTTCCTTCATTTTGATAAAACTATGTATTTATAATAATTAGAAAAGTTCCAGAAACCAATATTTCAGGTAACTGCAACATAAAATCTTTAAAGTTTAAGCAATTCCTTCTGCAATTCACCCATTTTACTTTTTATAAAGATTCAAAATTTCAGACCACATACTGTAAAAAGCATAGCCCAAGATTATCCCTAACCCTAAGAGATAACCACTATTCTGTAAGGAATTCAGTTATATCCTACATATATTTTTCTATACACACACTAAAAGAATTTCTGTATACAAATATTTATGGTACGTATAAGGACATATACTTTACTGGTTTATAACTTCATAATTAAATTATTAACCCAATTCTCTTCATAAATATCTCTCAGTGTCCTCTCCAACAATTTTGTCACTTTACTTGTACAGTCATATATATTATATAGCTAGCATCATTAAACCAATTTCTACAGATATGAACCTTGTATATTTGTACATCTTGTGTGACTTTCTATTAGTAAAAGTGAAATGTTTCTTGATATTTTCACAATCTGTCCTGCTAGTATTTTTCTAAGTGAATGAAGTTTGGTGATATTTCGGACAAAATATTTTCCCCAATTGGATTTTGATTTTGTTTATGATGCACCTTTTATTGGAGAGAAAGGGGCTGTTGTTGCTCATTTCTGTCATGAACAAGTTTTAAATTCTTCATGTACTGGAATTTACCAATGTTTTCCTTTATGAATATTGTGCCATACCTTAAAAAGCCCTCTTGATATTAAGATTATTTTCAAAAAATCCCTAGGGTTTTACTATTAAAAAAAATTTTTGTGGCATGTATTAAATGTTTCATGTATTAAAAAAAAAAAAAATTCATCCAACTTAATTTGGACATTAAAAAAAGACATAATGCTGTCTTTTTTACCAAAGAGCTAGTCAATTTTCCCAATATCATTTAATGAATAACTTGTTTTATGCCTTGATTTAAAACACTGCCTTTGTGATCCATTAAAATCCTCATGAAGTCATGCATTGTAAACAATGTTTTGATCAACAATGACTGTATATACAACAGTGGTCTCCTAAGATTTTGATAAACCTGAAAAATTCCTATTGCCTAGTGACCTTATAACTATCAAATTACTCACATGGTGATACTGGTGTAAATAAACCCACTGTGCTGCCAGTCCAGTCATATAAAAGTATAGCATGAACAATTATGTACAGCATAATCCTTGAAAATGGGTGCAAGTGACTGTTACTAGTTTACATATTTATTATACTATACACTTTATCATTATTTTAGAGTATACTTGTACTTACTTTTTAAAAAAAAGTTATTTATAAAACAGCCTCAGCAGGTTTCTCAGGAAGTATTTCAGAAGAAGGAATTGTTATCACAGGCAATGACAGCTGTGTATGTGCTATTACCCCTCAAGACTTTCCAAGTGGGACAAAATGTAAAGGTAGAAAACAGTGATACTGATGATTCTGTCCCTGTTTAGGCACAGGCTAATTTATGTGTTTGTTCTTAGTTTTTAATTAAAAAGTTTAAAAAGGAAAACATAAAAATGTTAAAAATAGAAAAAAGCTTACTGAATAAGGATATAAAGAAAGAAAATATTTTTGTACACCTTTGCAGCGTGTTTGTGTTTTGTGCTAAGTGATGTTACGAGAATCAAAACATTTTTTAAAATTGTAAAGTTTAAAAGTAAAAGTTATAACCAATTAAGGTTAATTTATTATTAAAGACAGGTAAAATGCTTTTATAAACTTGGTATAGCCTAAGTGTAAAGTCTAAAGTACAAGTTTATAAAATAGTATAGTAATGTCCTAGGCCTTTACAGTCACTCACTAACTCACCCACAGCAATTTCCAGTCCTGCAAACGCCATTCATGGCAAGTACCCCATACAGGTATACCATGTTTTATCTTTTATACTCTATTTTTACTCTATCGCTTCTATGCTATGTTTACTTACACAAATACTTACCATTGTGTTACAACTGCCTCAGTTGTCAGTATAGTTAACACAGTATCACAGTTGTAGCCTAAGACCAACAGGCTATACCATATAGTATAGTTGTGTAGTAGGTTATCCTATTTTAGTTTGTGTAAACATACTCTGTGATGTGTGCACAACAATGAAATTGTCTGAACAACACATTTTTCAGAACATAACCCTCTTAAGTGGCACATGACTGTATAAACTTAGTTCTATTTCTGAACTATACCATATTATCTGCTTTGTGCTGTCTTTTCACAGTACAAATAATACAATTAATACAAATAATTTTTTAAAGTGTACTATGGCAGTGCTGCAAGGGTTATGTATGTACTTCAAAATTTCATTAAAAAATACTTAAACAATAAATGATATAACCATTTATAAAATATTAAAGAACATCAAGTTTAAATGAGGTAGTGGTCAAAAAGGTGAAAGTAGAGCTAAATGTAAAAATCCACAAAATATGAAAGAGGGGAAATCAGTCTCAGATGAAGACAAAATTTGCTTCCCAATGCAAATGTAGAGAGATACCTGACAAAAGTATCCCTCCCAAAATAAGATTAGTTTGTAAAGTAAAAAGAGAAAGAGAAAGAGAAAGAAAAAGGAAGAGATTTTAGTGGTTTTAAAAAATAAAATAATCCCAGGCTGGGCATGGTGGCTCACACCTGTAATAATCTCAGCACTTTGGAAGGCTGAGGTGAGTGGATCACGAGGTCAGGAGTTCAAGACCAGTCTGGCCAACATGAGTGGAAATCATGCTACTGCACTCCAGCCTGGGTGGCAGGGCAAGACTCTGTCTCAAAAAAATATAATAAAAATACAATAATCTCAGCACTTTGAGAGACTGAGGTGAGTGGATCATGGGGCCAAGAGATCGAGACCATTCTGGCCAACATGGTAAAACCTAGTCTCTACTAAAAATACAAAAATTATCTGGATGTGGTGGCATGCACCTTGTAGTCCCAGTTACTCAAGAGGCTGAGGCAAGAGAATTGCTTGAACCCGGGAGGTGGAGGTTGCAGTGAGCTGAGATCATGCCACTGCACTCCAGCCTGGCGATAGAGTGAGACTCCGTCTCAAAAACAAACAAAAACCGGTAATATGGGATTTAAACCAGGAGAGAATAGTTAGAAGCAGTACAATGAAATAAGATGAAAAAGAAAAAAAATCATTGTTATAAAAATATCAAAATGCATTATAAAAATTCATTTCTGTGTTGGGTACAGTGGCAGAAACCTGTAATTCTAGCACTTTGTGAGGCTGAGACAGGCAGATTGATTGGTTGAGCTTTGGAGTTCAAGACCGCCCTAGGCAACATGGTGAGACCCCATTTCTACAAAAAATACATAAATTAGTCAACTGTGGTGGCCTGTGCTTACAATCCCAGCTACTTGGGAGGCTGAGGCGGGAGGATCACCTGAACTCAGGATGTCAAGGCTACAGTGAGCAGTGACCATACCACTGCACTCTAGTCAAGGTGACAGAGTGAGAACCTGTCTCAAAAAAAGCTCTTAATAAAGCAGT